AAAATACTGATCTGATTCAAAATGCCCTGGATTCCTTCTCAAAAGAACGTGCCTTCCCTGGCTTCGTAGAAACCTCAGCAGAGTGATTTTCATGTCCCTAACCAGAAGACTTACTGTTAATTCTGGCAGAATTAACACCACAATATACTACATGTCCAAGAACACATTAGGAATCTGAGAAGGGAGCACAAAGGAAAGAGTCCAACTTCACAGAAACCGAAGACATCAGAAATAAGAGCCAAAATGTTCCTTTTAATGTCTGAAAACATCTTTCTGTTGTATAGCTCATTAATGCTGTGTACTCTTTCCTTCTCCAGTGCTTATAAAAAAATAATAAAATAAATAATTGTTTGGATTAAATCTTGGCTTGCAAAAAATGACATTAATAATAGGAACAAGCATGTGTCTTTCATTTTATCCCAAAACACACATCACTCTTTAAAAATATGGATAAGCCAGACTTTAATCAGGATGTGGTTATTTCATTTACGTTCGGTAATCTGGAAACCCGTACCTTCCTCTTTTTTTTTTTTTTTTAAGAATTAAAATAAAAATTTATCCAATATTTGGCTCTATCTAGCATTTGAAGGAAGAAAGGATCCAACTCTTAAATCAGCAAATTTCTTCATCTCAGCCATGCACCCCCAATGCCGTTGAAAGCTTATTAAAACAAACATGTTGCCATGAAGACTTCAGAAAAAGTTCATGCCCAAAAATAAGAAAAAAGACAGCGCTGCTTGCTCCAACCGTTCCATCCCCTAAAGTAATTTAACAAGTTACTCAACGTTTGCCCAGAACAGATTCCCCAGAGAAGATTTCCAGTGGATCCTTTCATCCTAACATTCTTTCTTTGGATGCAAACCTGAACGTTAGCTCATTTTGCAGGTAGCTCCTCTTTCTGCCAGATAATTCATTTCAAAGCTATTCCAGGATCCGGTTTCCACTGTAGCTACTCTATCTCCTCCCAGCTGACATGATGCCAATCACGTCAAAGAACAGAAACTAAAAACTCAAGGGCATAGTAAAATGAATAGCTGGAACTGATGCAGACTGAACTGCAAACAGATGGTCAGCAAAACCATGAGAACCAAATGGGAGGGGAGACTGACAGAAGATTAACAGTACAGGTCAGCTTCGCTTTGGAGGTGCCTCATCAGAAGTTGTTGGCTTTGTAAGCTCTGGAGGAGTTGTCTTGTTCTACCCTGAACTGCAGGTGTACAGACTTCACCTGTAATACTGGAAAGTGCTTTCATCAGGAATGCAAAGTCACAACAGCAATCAGGTGGGCGAAGGATTTTTCCCATCCCCTCTACCAGACTGCAGGTCCCAGATCTCATTAGCTACAGAGCTCAGCCTTTCCTCAAAATCCAGGAAGACAGAGATCTGGGACCTGAGGAGTACACTGGGGGCTTGCTAAGTATTCAAATGGTCAGATGACCTACTTTAGCTTCCCTCTTCCTCCTGAAAAAAACTGTTAAGGGCATCTAATACACTGGTCTGTTAAAATACCACCTGTAAATGACAAGGACTCCCCTAATTTAAGATACCTTTTGTAACTGCTTACTGGAATGCACATGAAGCTTTTTTCCTCACCCCACAGTTGAAGGTTTCCCTCAATCACATACCGTTCCTACTAGCGGATACAGGAATCCAGCACCAACACTGGCCCGAATGTCTCGGATTGGCAGAACAAAACCTGTAGGTGCTCCTTTTTGTTCAGGGTCATGCGACAATGACAAGTGAGTTTTAGCCATGCAGATTGGCAGGTTTCCAAATCCCTGGGAAAGGCAATGAAAAGACAGAGAGAGAGAAAGAAGAGTAAGTGAAAACCCAGTAACCTTCCCTGTGCACAAATGTAATTGCTCTATTCTGTCATTCTCAGCAGACATCAGACAATTTATCAGGAAGTTTTACTCCTCACCAAGTGCTTCATCCACAGCCTGTCAGACCCACTGACCATTCTGCATCCCCATTCCTTCTCTCTCAAAGTCTCTAACTGCCCCCTGCTAAGTATTAAAGAACCACCATGGCCCCCCCCGCACATCCAACTGAGGAAAAAATTAATGGTATGGAAGTGTTAGATATAAAACCTCGACAGCTAACTTACTTTCTACTCTCTTCCCAAAACGCTAATTTAAATAGCTCAGAACTAAAGTTCTTGTTCAGCTGAGGTCAGTTAATTAGAAATGTTTGATCAATACAATTGCAGGTTCTGAGGAAGTGGCAATTACATGCCTATGGTATTTTGACAGGCATGTAAAGGAATATACAAGAAACAGGAAAAGTGAGAAACTATACATGCTAGTAGTAAATGGACTGCAAAAGCAAAATTACTCAAGCACACTGTGAACAAAGCATGGTTAGTTCTCACACTGGTTTTCTCTTCAAAGCCCTTTACAGACCTTCATTAACTCAGAAGTAGGTAAATTCACAAGAACGTCATGCTAGAGAAGAGTAAAAGCAACACAAAAATCAGAAAGCATCTAATTCAACAACCAGATGTCAAGTTCAAAACTGCCAGCTCCTCTTCCTTCTCTGCCATAGCAGCATGCAGTGAGTCCTGGACAAGGACATGATTTGAGTGATGATTCCCTTCACGCACAGTTTGAACACCACTGCACACATTAAATTAAAACCACCATTGGTATCAGGTGACATGGAAAACTCACTTGCTTAGTGTACAAGGCGACTTTCTCCTCTGCTTCTGGAAGTAGCTCAATGTCACTTGCCCCATAGATCTGCTGTGCAATGAGCCTGATCTTATCTATAACAGGGAGCTAGAAAAAAAAGACAGGCAGGTCAGTGTGGCCAAACTACAGAGAGCCGTAACAGCACAGCAGCTTCACAATCCTTCACACGTGTTGAGCAACGCCCATCTGCAGATACAAGAGCTATTCCTTTTTGCTGTAGAACAAAGCTATGCAGTAATTTGAGGGTTTTCAGAACAGGTTTCATTTATCTTGTTGCAGTTGCTTCTCTCAGTAAGAGGGCAAAACTATTTTACTAGTCAGAAACAAAAAAATACACAACAGTATTTCTTATAACCTGTGCTTGCATGTTAATTACCTCCACTGCAAAAGAGACATCTTTACTCTTTCTCAAATACAAGTAAAAAAGCGGACAAAAATAACTTGATGGAATACAAGTTAATGGTTAAAGAAAAGCACCAATAAAACAGGTTAAAGAAGAAAAGTTGAAAGCATCTGTTGAAGAGCTAAATAGATATAATGACACAGCTCTGTACCTCATTAGGTGCTTGAATAGGTGCTTGCTATTAAAGGAGGATTCAGTCCACAACCTGGGAACTAACAGTGACTTCATTACCTGCAAGTCATCTGTCAAATTTGCTCAAGTACACTCATTAGACATACACACATACACCCTCTCTTCCACCCCGACTTGTAGTGTGACTCCATAAGCCTTACTTGCAGAGAAAAAAAAACATTAAAAAAGGACAAATTTTGTTCCATAGCCTTTTGCATAGATTCCCATCCTGAGCAACAAAAGCACCCAGAAGCTCTGCAGTGAGGTAACAGGTTTGGTCAGGCTTGTTCCAGTCCATGCTCTGACAGGAATGCAGGTCTCAAGTTCAACAAGTAAACTTCCCCTTACCCTGGAACATGGCTGCCACAGTAGAAACCTTTTGGTGATCTCTAGCAGAGTCACAGTAGCATCCTTCAGTGTCAAAAGCAAACGATATTTCACTGGGTACTCAAAACAACAAGAGCAGACTAACTAGGTCTTTGACACTGGTGGAATAAATGCTATGTTCTAAAACCAAATTTCTCCTCCGTTTCTCAGAGCAGCCTTTCAGACAGCCTTCAGCAACTTAAGCTAGTGAAACCAACTGATCTCCACCTTATAAACACAGTACCTCTGTAATACTGCCGGTTCTTACCTCCACATTATAGAGGAACCTGAAGTTGCTGGGTGTCTGTGATGCTCTCAGAACAGCTTGGGCCAGTGCAACCGCCCCTTTACCTCCCTCTGCCCAGTGTGTGCACTCCACAGCGTCGAACGCTCCCGCTTCCTTTGCCAGTTGTACTACAAGAGCCAGTTCAGCCTTTGTATCTGTTCTGTAAGGAGAAAAGTTTGCACATTTGTATGAGAACGCACAAACAGTAAATTAACTGTCTGTTCTAACCATTTTTCACTCTTGCTAACACCATCCAAGAGCTGTCCAAGAAATCACAGAGTCCAGCCATCAGAAAGCCACTGAGGGGCTATCCACCAAAGCATCCTCCACCTTGGTGAAGAAATCTGCTCCACAGAGGCACAGACAGGAACAGGTAGCTCTGGAACTACAAGCAGAAACCCATGACTACTAACAGAGCAGCTTTCCAGGCTTTCTGTCATATCTCTGCTGTATCAGCAATGCAACTCCTGTTTGCAGAAGGAAACTCAGAAAGGCATTAGTGCTGCTCATTTAGAGGTGCTAATATCATGTGCACACAACAAGGTAAAAACCATAATTTCTCTAAATCAGCCAGTATGGGTTTACTTCAGATGAAGAAGCCTTAGCTGGCTACTCCGCTTCAGCTGGCATCAGCTTTAAAACACCAGTTCAAAGCCCTTCTGCTTGCATAAAAAGACCACACACAGATTCTATTTCCTGTGCAGTACAATGTGCAAAGCCCAAAATGCTTCTTAGTGGGGCATCATTACTCCATACAGCAGACCATTGAAACAGTATGGTCGACAGCACAGGCACCTTCACCATCTATTATGAGCTTGGATTCCACAACATCACAGGCACCTTTTGTCCACAGTAATTTTACCAGTCAGGGTGTAAGTGATGGCAGATAATAGCCACTGATCATAAAATCCTAAGCTAACTTAAATTAAGGAATGCATTTTAAATGACTAAGCAGAACTCTCCTATTTATTCAGCCTTTTCCAGCAACGCAAAATGCAGCAAACAATACATTGACAGGACTGAAAAAAAGAGTGTTAAACATAGCACATAAAGTGCCAGAATTTTATTCCCATGCATCACTTCCATGTCCCAGCTCACTTACTTGAAAGCATTGACAGCCACTACTACTGGGACACCAAACATCCGTGCATTTTGGATTTGCTTGTTTAGGTTACTACAGCCTTTTGCCAACAGCTGAAGATTCTGTAAAGAAGACAGCAAGCAGGAAGCATGTTTTATCAGGGGCAGCGAAACTCTTGTTCCAAATCCACTATGTCCCCAGCTGATGATAAAAATGTCAAAAGGGGAATGAAACCACAAAGGCAAATCCCCAGTGCTTCTTTCTGAACAGTCCAGACCCATGCGTGTTCTTGGATGGAAGACACGAAAAAGGAATGACTACATCTAATGATCACTGGTTTCAGCTGCCAAGCCAAGGTAAGAGAAATCACTTTTTATCCTTTTTTTGTTATTCTTAGTAGTTAATACCCATGCTCATTAATTCCCCACAGTAAAGTCTCATTTTCCTCTGTGACACATTCCTCTTCATGTATTAAATATCATTAGCAGTGAATCTCATGACACTTGTTTGAAGTCTGTGGCAACAGTTTTCGGTTTACACATATTTACATTTTGCAGCATCAGAGACTATTCATGGAAATCCAGATACATATTTCATCCCTTCCTATGCGAAGAACAATCCATAGAGAAGCTCCACAGGTGCAAAAGCTGCAGCAATGTAAAGAGAGCCAGATAATTATCCAAGTGTACACAACCATTCAAGGCACAAGGACAGAAGCTGAGTCTTTAGTTCACTTTCCTCTCTGCTTGCAAAGGAGAGGAGGTACATAAAACCAGAAACTGCTGCTGCTAAGAAGAGAGTAATTAGAGAGGCACTCTGAATATTTTCAGAGACAATATTTCAGCCAAGCAATTACTCCATACTGAGCGGGTCAGGGGACCCAGAGTAGATATTACTATGAAAAACTGAGCGCACAGACAATTGCATGAGAAACGAGAAGGCTCTGAATACTGGCTAGGTCAAGTACAATAAACGCTTGAAAGATCAGAGCCAAAGCAACATGATAAAAAAAAAAAAAAAAGAACATTATTGAGGAAGCATTTCCCTAGCAGCTAAAGAAATGACACACACTAGTGATCCAGGCATGCACTGCATGACAATATTGCATCACAACTGTAGTTAGCTGGTCAACTCTGACAACGGTGAATGAAGTTTACCTCTTCCATGTACTCCTTCGGTAAAGGTACCCCAGCTGTGACCTGGGAAAAAAAGGAAAAAAAAAGATGGAACCCCTAAGATTTTTATCCATGACAGCAATTCGTGCTTGATTCTTATTAGTGTCAAGATACAACATTCTACTGCAGGCTGACGATTTTTCTAAGAAAAAAAATAAAAGGAAAAATAAAAGACTGCAAGATGCACTCACAATACAACAAACGACTGACTGCGGTAATATCACAAGTGCCCCAGCATACAAGCACACCAGTAGGACAATAAAACAAGCAGGGATGTACCTGTAACAAGTACCTCACAAGCAACAAGGACATACAGATTCCTTTTACAACTGCAAATCTCAAGACAACTACAAGCATACCAAACCCTTGAGGGCTTTAAGTGACTGGATCAGAACAACAGTAACAGCCCCTCAGACCCAAAGAAAACCTTGCCTAGTACTTACTGCAGGCCCTCCTCCATGCATTTTCAGAGCTCGAACAGTAGCAACCAACACCACCACATGGGGCCGGAGACCAGAATAGCGGCACTTAATATTAAAGAATTTCTCCATGCCTATGTCTGCACCAAATCCTGCCTCTGTAACTAGAGTAGGAATTAAAAGAAAAGAAGCTTGTGAGAGGTTGCTGGGTGGAGAAATCATGCTCTGATTATATAAATCAGAAACATCTTCCAAGACAAAAAAAACAAAGACAGTCACAATAAAAAAGGCAGACCCCTCCCTGCAAAGCAAACAAACAAAAAGCAAACAAACCATCCCATACACTTACCAACAAAACCCTCTTTACCCACAAGCTTCAGTGCTATTTTGTCTGCCAACACTGAAGAATTTCCATGTGCAATATTGGCAAAAGGTCCAGCATGAACAAACACTGGTGTTCCCTTGAAAAGGCAGGGTGCAGGGGAGAGAGAGAAAGAGAAAATCAGAGAATAAAGTTTACAAAATCTGTAGCATTTCAGGAGATAAGTACTATCGTACCTGAAGGTAAAGAAATATGCTCATAGAAGACATCTTAAAGCCTTCTGATCAAACATTTGTTATCAGTAATACGGCTACAGGGCAAACAGGATTATAATAATCTGCACAAGTGGAGTTATTAATCCCTTTAGGAAAAGGATGGCTAAATACCACCAACTCCTTCACTCACACTGTCTAGACTCCCAAAACACTTCCTGGTAAGAACCCACATATAGCAAATCGTTTGTGCTCACCTCTAGTGTCTGCATGAGGTTTGGTTTAACAGCATCTCTCATCAAGACAGCCAGAGCACCAGTCACTCCCTAAAACAAAAAAGGCAATTAGTTTCCAGATGTACTACGACCTTGAGACAGTTCCCATGCAGTGTCAGGGCTCTGCTTTTGTCCTGGTGAGCTTTCAGGACCAGAACCAGCAAATTACTAACCCTAGGAGGGCAAGGCAGAATAACGACCTTTACATCCTTGCAAGAGGATCTGTGATTTTTGCTGGGTGCAGTCTCTTGGTTGCGACCTTGCTCAGCCATCACTTTGTAGTGAAGGCACAAAGAACAATTGCTGTTTCAATGCTATGGCAAGGTTAGTAAAGAACACCAGTGAGAGAGTACCCCTTAGGTAGGCGTGGTTTACTGCAGCCAATTCAGTGGCACAGAGCAGGGAGTTTTTCAGGACAGTTGTCACACATGTTGAAATTTTGGACCACACTCATCACCCTGGTATCTCAACTGTAGCATCACTGTCTTTTTTTGGAGTACCTAAACACACTAAGAAGTTTAAAGTGACACATATGTCAATATTCTTGGGTTGTGCAGGTAGATTTGTCTTGGACTTTTCTTCTTCCTCATTTCAGCAACTAGGCTCTATATATTGGCCTTAAAATGTCATAACAAGCTGCTGCATCCTGGCCAAGTCTCTTGTGCAGAAATAACTTCTAAAGTGAATCTCTGCAATCAGGAGAAAGACCAGGCTGACATAATGAAAGGCAAGCACTGGAGCCCATGTTTCTTCCAAGGTGCAGCAATACACCCTGCTGCAATTCTGCTTCCTGCAAAGTGGAAGCTTGAGATTTCATCCACATCTGCTTTGGTAAGAGAAAATGAGGGTTTGGTCATCCTTGTGACTGACACAGTCTAGTAGAAACCAAACTGGCTGTTACCCAGCACTTGCAAAAGTAACTAGAATTGCTAACATGGGTACTGAGCCAAATGTTCAGAGCAGTTATGAAAACCTTGAACTATGATTTTTTCTTTCTTCCCTTTTAATTTCAAGTGGATTGCAGAACTCAATTATATGAAAGGTTTTTTTAAAGACATTCACTGCTTTGTTTCATTAGTTTCAATCTTGACACGTGAAAGCTTATTTAACATTTAATGGCTAAGCTTTAAGCTTCAGCCATCTCCAGAATAATAAAAACTACAGAGCAAGATTTCCATGACGACATTTCAGGCCTGTGTCACTCAATGGCACTTAAGTACACCCCATATCTAAAAACCAGAACAGGGTTTAATTCTGGTACTTAAGGTTAAACTGGCAGCATGCTAGGAGTAGGAATTAAAATCTAAAATCTGCCTACAGAATTTTGGCACACACTCTCCCTCATTCCCAACAAGTGTCTCACATAAAAATATTTACAGATAAATGATTCCCAGCCTAGTGCTTTTCCTGCAAGGCCAGAGTCGGGCCACACTGCTAATCTACTGTTTCTTAGGCTTATCCTGGGAGGAAGCAAAACAAACCAAAAAAAAAACCCCAACACAAGAAAAGCCACAGCAAGATAGCAAGAGCTGGGTAAGCCTTAGTGCTGGAAACCTTGCTGGAAACACAGGTCAGGATACCTACCCTGTGGATTCTTCTGTCTCACTGGAAAGGTTCATTCAGAAAATGCAAGACAAACCTCATTAACACCACATCGTGCAAATTTGTAACACTCTTGTCTTTTGCCAAGCAGGCCATGAAAAATCTACTACACAGCAGTAAGCACCAGTGTCATATGTCTACCGACTAGTGCAACGGTCCCGAGCCTGTTCTCTGTCTTGAGGCCAAGTGTCAGAGCACAGTTCACATACACAGCTCAATACCCCCTTTCTTCTCCAAATAGGCTTGCCATCTTCAAAGCATTTATTGGAAGAAGAGTCTGGGGCACAGGCTATTCCCCTGAAATCACGCTGAAGCATCATTTGGGAGAGTGCTAGCCAACACACTCCACAAGCATGCCAACAACTGTACTAATAATTATTATTGGACAGCTGCAAGACAGTGCTGCAGCTTGCAACTGCTGCTTAGGACTGCTCTACATACTGGTAATAAACATCTGTGCTACTATATTCAGCATTTTATGCAGTGGAAAGAAGGGTTTTGTGTTGTTCCTCATCAAAGGCTGTCTTAAGGAGACCCTGCAATTCTTGCAAAAGTTTTGTCTTTTACAGCATTCACAGTCTTCTTGAATAAGATATTTCATCATCTGCAATTAAATTTGCACAAGGCTTTGTTCCTGCTCAATATTTTCTTCACTCCAGGGAGCCTGAGCAACAGGATGGCCAGCAGGATGCATTTGATGTTGAGTTCTTCCTATTTGTAAATATGCTTTTATCTAGAAGCCACCATGTATTTCCCCATTAAGTCCTATGGTGCTAGCTGCAATTTGACACACAGCATACCACACAGGACCCTTTGTCCTTGCCCAGGTCAGACGCACACACACATTCTCTGGGTCAGGTGCTAGCTACACTAAAGTAAAAAACCTTCAATAACTCCAGGGGCTAAGATTTCATCTTTGATCTTCTATATGCTAAGGCCTTTTCCGTACAGAACTGTCTCTCTGCTTCTCAATCCAAGGACTTTCAGAAGTAATAGGAAAAAGTTAGCATTTACGAACTGAATGACTCTCTTACAAGGTCATCTGTTGTAACTGGTTCTCCTCTCTTGCTGGAAGCTACTACCATTCTGCCCAGTCGCTTTTTCATATCATCCAGCCCGTCAGAGAGTGCTAGAACTGCCATGATTTCACTGCTCACTGTGATGTCAAACTGAGCCTGCAAGAGATGAATAAAGAAGGTGAACTCATCAAAATTCCCCAGTAGCAATCCTTACCTCTGTTAAATTCTTGAAACAAGGACAATCATCACCATCATAACAAAAAATAAAAAAAGACATACAAATATAAAAGAAATCCAAAGCATTATTCTCAAAACATGCTTCATTTAATTTGGCCATTTTAAACTGTATTTTTTCCTGCAAAATTAAGTAAAAACTACTTATTCCATTGTTATTATATGACTCTCCTGGCACTTTACGTTAACGATTCAGGTAAGAACGTAACACTAACAAATTACATTTTGGAAGACTGAGCTTACTAACTCATCTGGCTATCACTAAACAGTACAGTAAATGACAAAAAAAACCAAAACAGATCCTATAGGAAATGAAGGGTAGGATCCATCTGACATAACACAGACACCTCCACCAAAGCTAAGCACCCTAGAGGCATTTCAAGTGAATAGAAAGGCTTTTCTGAGCACAATTCATTCAAACTATTAATTTGATAGTTACTTAAGGGATGAGAAGAGTCACAGCCCAGATTGCTTATCTTAGTCTATTGATTATTTAATGAATCTAGACAACAGGCTCAGATGCTGTGTCTAGTTTTAGCCGGACGCATCCCACCCAAAGCATCTGCAGTGGTCAAGACCAGCCACTGCCATGCACCATATCGACAGAGGGCATTCGAGTACCACTGTTACTATGCTGGAGTTATCTCCGTTTGGGAAGCCAACATTCAGGAAAGAAGAGGTAAGGAGTGAACAACAAAACTAAACTGCACTGGTAGCGGCGAACTTAACTGCTTGGCTGAAGGGCCTTTCTGCTCTCTCTTTAACAAGGTACTGGTAAAAGATGGAAATACCTGGAGTTACAGAAACTTGCTTTAGGACCACGTTTTTCAAAGTGCTTTTTAAAACATGCAAGAAAAGGGAACAAGTACCGTTCGTGAGAAGCCTTTTTCTGTTGGAGACTGTCCAATAGTGATTTTCCTAAGGAATCTGTCATTTGTATCCAGTACTGTGAGGAATGCAGAGAGGAAGATGACAAGTCATGTTGCAAGTCATAACTCACATCCATGCCTTATTCCAAACACTCAGCTAGATCACCTATGAAGAGAGGATGGCAGTTTGAGACACCATCCTCTCCTAAAGAATGGCCAAGTGCCACCCTATGTGATTCTTCCCCAAAACTGAACTGCAACAAAGTTTAGATGCCCACAGTCACATGCAGACCCTGCACTGCATCCAGAGGGAGTCCACCTCCCTTTGTGTGCATTAACCACAAGTCTGAAGCCTCTCTGAAAAGCAGAGCTAGCAAGCTAGTATTACTCCAATTACTTTTTCACCATCATTAGTCAATGTGGAATCAGGAAATTATTACAGGTAAAAATAAATAAAATTATAATTTTATAGGTTAAGTGATAAAATGGTCAGATTCTACCACTTAGTGAGAGGAGTTTCACACAGCCCCATTAACTCAAATTACCTTGGAAACACAAACTATCAAATACTGGCTTAAATTTGCTGTTCCTTACTATCTGCTTGAAAAATTATAAGTATTTTATAAAATATCTCCCATGAGGCAGACACTTGGGCCCTACTACAGGTTATGAAGCAAATTCTGGAGAACACATTTCACACTGTATTTTAATAAAAAGAAGAAAAAGCAATACTCTTGAGGTCTTAATCAGAAAAAATTGTCTATATTTGAAATTTCTTTTGCTAGTGAAATATTAAATCTGCCAGACCAGAGATTGATCTTCAGGTATCTTGAAAAACCTTTTAAAAATCTGGTCTTTATTTGCTGTCTGTCCCCAACAGAGCAAGTGAGCAGACTAAAACTGAGTTTAATCCTGGAGCAGAACCCTCTCCTTGCTCTCAGCGCTTTCTCAGTTAGGCGAAAAGGCTGTTGGCTGCAGTTGCCAAATGCAACTTTCTCAATGACTGACAAATCCAGAAACACAAATTTGCACCAATTAGTGAAGTCTGCTCCAAATTCACAAAGATTAAGATTCAAGCCCCTGCATCAGACCCTTCAGAAATGGGATCCCAGCTGCAGGCACCTACCCCACCACACACTCAGAAGGAGAGGCTAGCCCTGCCCCTTCCCATTTTACCAGGAAATAGTTCCTGCTGCACTTGCAAACCTCTCTTTTAAAACGCATTTTGTTTATTAATAATTATTTCATTTAACGCCTCTTGTACCTCTTTGCCATGTGATGGTGCCTGGGTCAATGTCCAATCTCACAAATAAGTTTACTTCTTCCTTTGTCAAAGCCGCAGGATCGGTTTTGTTAATGCCCAATTTCTATGGGAGGAAAGGACAAATAAAAGAAAAAGGGTACAATGAAAAGATTCACAGAAATAAACCTTTGACTAGAGCAATGAGCCTTCAAGCAGCACCATTTGCACATTCAGAAATAAGGAGGGGCTGCCTTTCTGGTGTCCCTTCTTCCTAGAGCCCACGGCAATGTAGGACGATCCGTATCAGCGTGTACTTGGAAGCACAGCTCGCTGCTGGCCAGCTGGTAAAGGGCAAGGCAGACAACAGAGCTCATTAGGGCAGGTTGTCACCAAGCTTTGTGCAAGGCATCTACAGAAAGAGTAAGAGAAACAAAGCTCTGCAGTTCCTTACACGCCTAGTTCTAATCATTGGTCTCACATGCTTACATCCATTTCTCGTTAGTTTGCCCAGGGTCACTGCACACAGCCATACGTATTTAAAGACACTGCCTTCAGCATGCTGGTTAAACGGCACAAAGGAGGAATTAAACAATTCAGTCACAAGGCTGTCAGCATCCCAGAAAGCTGATCTTGAACATACTGAGAGGATGGGCAGTTTGCCAAGCTGCTTAATTGAGAGAAGAATTATCTCAAGAAGCCTAATACAAGCACAAGCTTAGGAATGAGAACGATTGAGTTGATTTATGAACGAGCAAGCTTTCTGTAATTATCTAGATAGCTAACGCGTATTTTTCTCCTGCAGAACAGCAGGGAAGAAAAAAAGTCTGTCCTCTTACTCTTCAAGCACATAATTTAGAAAAAGAAATAAACAAAAAAAAGCACAAAATAAAGATATCGTCTTTCTGGCATTCACATCTTGACATTTAATAACCAGAAGAGTGGCTAGGGCAGAGTTCCTCAGCAGTCTGTCACGCACACCAAGCAATGTGACATAGCTTCTTTGCTCAGCAGTGGAAGCAAACCACACATTCTCTAATGGTGGAGACATAATAGCCAATTAATAAATCAGAGTTTTAGCTTCCTAAGTAGTCCGACTATTGCTCCTGGCTTCCAAATGGGCAACTGATCCAGCCTGAATGCTGTACGAACAGGTTTGTTCTTGGAATGAACTCAGCAGGCCCCAGGCTGTCCTTCTAGTCAGGAAGGCCAAGCCCAGAGCATAACCATTCCTCTGTTAATCCTCATTTTTGCAGAGCTCAGGGTTACACGCTTGTTTACATTGATTTCTGAGGATCAGAGGAGCTGTGGTCTGCTCAGGGACTGCCACGCAATCACAGGACGCAATCACATTGATTTAACTGTGAATTCTTTTTTGGGGAGAGAAGTGCGGGATGCTGGGGGACATGTATTTTTCCCCTTTTCCATGTTTGCTCAATCTGGATAAGACAAAAAAATTCTGTTCTCTTTTAGATGAATTTTATAAATTGCATTTTTTTTTTGTCCTGCATTATCTATACAGCTGTCACATGGGAACTATTCATCTCTCGCTGTAACTGGGTTTAAGGTAAGAAGACTGATTCTGGTCCTTTCTTGAATTGCATTAGGGACACTGATGTGACACTACTAATAAAGGACACTAATCCCTCTGCCTCTTCCCACTGTGTTACTGCCACAACATATGATAAAGAGAGTTACATCAATGATTCTTCCCCTTGGGGTTGCACCTCACTGTTTTCTGTGCTCTAAGAAGGGCTACCACACTTTATGTAAAAAATAAATGCCAGCAGAATGACTTAGAGGACAACACGAGGGTTTCTGCAGCCTGGCTCTGCCTACGTAAAGGATGAATAAGTGGAAAAGAACCAGAAACCAATGTGAAAACAGTGAACTTACTTGTAGTCTTCTGATCTGAATGTCTGAGAACTTCCTAACACCATTGACAGAAGGCACCAAACGGTTGTAGAGAGCCTTGCAAGAACGAAACAGGCAGTTAGTGAGCACTGCTGGCACACCCAAAACATGTTGACCAAAGTGGGCTGGCTCCAAATACATCATAAGAAAGGACCATACCTGGTCAGTCTGACTTAATTCATGGAATATACGTGCGTCGATAGCAGCAGCGACCAGGTTGTTGGCTGCAGTGATAGCATGGATGTCACCAGTGAGGTGAAGGTTAAACTAGAGGACGTAAAACACATCAGTTACCTCATCCAGCTGCAATTTTCATTTATTTCAATTTATCGTAGACAGATGGAAAGAAACGTATTAATAGCAATGTTAAAGTGGGTGAGGGTGGAGGGGGAGAGATTGCTCAGTGCAGTATGTGGAAGAGAGGAAAGAATTTCTCTAAAACAGAAAAATGCCTCCCCCACATTTGTGTCATTTTACAAACTTCCAGAACGAAGCTTCCAAATAAAAAGGTTTTTTTCCCCCATGAGAACAGTTCTCACAAGCTCCTTGACACCCAAGACGACCATGGAATGGCACATCTGCATTGCTCCTCCTTCACCTTCCTTCTGACCCACTCTCATTATTTGCACAACAGGTTTCACACGCACATTAGCTGAAGCTGCTGCTGCTCCCACAAAGATGTCTGAGCTAAATTGAAACTACCAACCTTGTGTAGTGCTAGCAGTAGAGCTGTGGTTGCACAGAGCTCTGCATAAGCTCACCACTCCAACACACAGTATCGTAGGCAGAACTTTCAGACCACGTACTACACAGCGACACTGCTAGTAGTTTTCTTGGTTCTATCTCATTAAAAGATCGTTTGAGTGGGTTTGTCTACGTGAGTTATCTGGCTGCACTGTAGCGATACTGACAAATAGCTTGGGATATATAGCTTATGTGACAAACTTGCATTATGGCAGGGGAGTAAAAGGTGCAGTTAAAACAATCCTTTTTCTCTGAAGCAGAGCAGTAAAGGAAGACAATGAAAAAAGGGACATTACAAAAGGTGATGTGACAGAAGACCTTATGGTACCATTTTGTTGGAGCCTTGCTATTGTGGTCTTAAAAACCAGATAGCTAAAAGCAGAATGGAGCTAGTCACACATTGAGTATAAATCCTAATTAGCAACTGCTAATTGTTGTGTCACTCTACATACATGCAAACAAGAAGCAATTATTACCACCGCGGTTCTGCAGTACAGGAGTTTTTCACTTGCTAATCTTTTCCTAGGACGAAAGCTGCATGTAGAAATACCCAATGATGTATCAAGGTCATTACTGGAACTAGTGACTCCAGATACTTTGATTTTATGAAACATGCATCAATTAAAACACCCCCACAAAGCTATGTGTACTTACACCACGTGGGTCATACTTAAAGAAAGTCCCTTCAGCCAGTTTGGTTCCAAGAGTGGGGCTGTTTCCCATTGCTGCACACAGTCAAGTATTTTGGCTCATCTTATTAACACTCCCAAACAGGAGGAGATTATTTCTCCTGTCACATCTATCATTCACACGTGTTCTTGGCACCTGACTAAATCAATATTCTGCCTCTTAACATTTTATCTTTTATGGACTTTCTGCATCAACTGGAATGAACAGCCGTTTTGATAATTTCTGCTTTTCTTCATAAAATTTCCCTGTGTCAATCTATAGTGCAAAAGACAAAGGTAGAATTCTACAGGCAATTACTTTGAGAGTTGAGACAAGCATGAGAGCACGTGCTACACGTGCCTTTCAATTCCCTGCCTCCAGACACAGGATTTTACTTGTTGCCAAGTCACATCAGAAATATGCTACAGTGCCAGTCCCCCACAGGCTAAGGTCTTGGCATTATTGATTCTCAACTTCCCTCCCTTTTCCCTTTTCGTGTTAGTAATCTAAAATACAAGTACACCAAAATAGCACACAGAAAGTCAGTGACCACTGCTGCTCACAGAACTACTTAATATGCTTCCAAAACATATTAAGCCATTATAATCTTCATGTCAGTTCTGGGAAGAGGCACAGGATGTACTTTGCTCAAGGGTGCACAGCAATTTAAGGCAGAGAAGGGGCGGGAACAGAGGAACTGGGTATTCCCAGTTCTATGAAGTTCCTTGACCATGCAGGCACCCTTCTGAAACAACCAAAGATGTTTTGTATTTTTTAAAAAAGCATTGCTGAAATCAAGTTCTTGGGAGTGCTACACTGGACCATAAACAAGAAAGATTTGGTAAGACATCTGACTTCAGTATCTCTTCAAGGTCTGTCAGCTACATGTGCAATGAGGCTTTGTATAAAGAATTACCTCTTCCATAGGGATAACTTGACAATAGCCACCACCTGCAGCTCCACCTACAGAGAGACAATAGTAAAATCATGCAAATAAAGGTCTCTCTAGCCCACAATGATATTACATGTGTTTGCTTAATGGCTTTCAGAAGGCAGCTACTGTCTGAGCAGCTTAGTTTAAATCCCAGCACAGCACCTGCAGATAACACTGAAGAACTTACCCAAAGTTTTTCTTTCTTGAAAGAAATGCAATTGTAACTGGGAATTATGTAAAACTACAATGCAGCAAAATCAAATCTCTGAATGCCATCTTTCCCCATTTAGTCCGACTGCAAGCAACAGAACAGCTCATACCTTTTATACCAAAGGTTGGCCCCTGAGAAGGCTGACGAACACAGGCAAAGACGTTCTGGTGAAGGTGTGCTCCTAAGGCTTGAACAAGACCAACAGTGGTGGTGCTCTTCCCTTCTCCCAGGGGAGTAGGAGTTATCCTGCAGGGAAAAAGCAGAACAGACACAGTTAAACCCTTTTAGTGTGTGAGACTCAAAACACAGGGATAAAACAGTCACCCGGTGATTGCAGTTAACGCCAGTTCAATTCTGGATTGGTTCAGACATCAGCTAATCATCAATTCGAAACTGAAATGAGATTGGTGAATTATCACATAACTGCTGAAGACTTTGCTCTGAAACAACTCGATAGTTACTGTTGAAGGCAGGCTACTAGACTAGGAGAACTTAGACTACAATCCAGACTGCCCTTCATAACCCTGACCTGCAGACCAAAACAATTCATCCACAGGAGAGAAATGTTAAACTACATTCCCACTATTTGCAACAAGAGATAAATCTATTTCCCAAACCCCTAGATTCTCAGTGTGATTTACTAAAGCCCAGAGCACCCCATACAGTCACCTTACCAAAAGACAACACAATGACAAGCCACGCTAATAAAATTTCTTTTCACCTTGACATCATGTAAGTGATGCCTCAGTTAAGGAAGTACCTACCCAGTAACAACAACGTATTTGCCATCTGTCTGGTTCTTCAGCCGTTTCAGAACTGACAGATGAACCTTGGCTTTAGTTTGGCCGTAGAGCTCCACCTCATCAGGGAGCAGGCCAACTTCTTTTGCAACTTGATCAATGGGCTTGGGAATGCAAGACTGCGAGATTTCAATATCACTTAAAGAAAGAGAGCAAGGTCAATTGATATGTCAGAGACTTCTCACAAATTCCCTGCTTCTGGACAGCATAAACTACAAACACCTAATCTATATTTTAAAAGGGAAGCTTTAACCCCTCCCAGTTAAATGAATCTATCCCACTGATACTGGCTACATTAGAACAGAAAGAACGTCAGAGTTGCATTTTTTTTTTTTTTTAAAAAACCAACAAAACAAACCGAACAACAAAAAACCTCCCACCAACCCTCCCCACGCTCCTCCCACCCCTAGAATGCCTTTTGTAGACAATGTGTTATGCTCCCTTATGGCATTTTTTTATATTTTCAACTGCTCCCTGGGGACTTGACACCAACAACTCCTACGTCAAGATGCTAGTGTTTTGCCACGTCAGACTGAAAATTTCCCAGAATACAAGTGTCTCGCTATTTGTTGAATCAGCAACTATCCAGCTGGCCTAAAGAGTCAGTGGAAGTCCACACTAATATTATCATAGATTCATAGAATCACAGAATGTTTGGGGTTGGAAGGGACCTTAACAATCATCTAGTTCCAACCCCCTGCCACAGGCAGGGACACCTCCCACCAGCCCAGGGTGCTCCACGCCTCAGCCCAGGTTGCTCAAAGCCTCATCCAGCCTGGCCTTGAACCCCTCCAGGGATGGGGCATCCACAGCTTCTCTGGGCAACATGTGCCAGTGTCTCACCACCCTAACAGGAAAAAATTTCTTCCTAGTATCTAGTTTAAATCTACAACTGTTACTCCTTGTTCTGTCACTGCACTCCCTGATTATGGTGGATGACCCATGCCTACACTTCACCATATGTCACAGCACCACTACAGGTCAGCTTTGCTCCCTTAGGAAGGCCTCACAGTGCTTTCTCTCTACTTCTCTCAAAATGTCAATGCCAGCTACAGTCTACATACATGTATGCCCCATATTACATAAAGGTTGGGAACAGAAGTGAATACTATAATGCATCAATACCACCACTGTCTCAATTTGAAAGCATTACCTTGGAACAGGCATCTTTAGGGTAAGCTGGTTATACTGGATGTTCCATTTTCCAGGCTGGAACTTCTCCAGAAAACGCTGTGCACTCTCCACTGTGCTCTAAAACAAGGATGAGAATGCATTATAGCAACCACCACTGTATGAACCATGCTGGTTGAGAAAGAGACCCAGAGAGGTTCTCCCCTCCCATCTGTCTCAGTTTGGGATTAACACAAAGTGTTTTGATTAAAGCATTTGCTAACAATCCAAAATGAGATTCTGCTGGTAGTTTTCTTAAAAAGAAAAAAAAAAAACCTACCATACCTATCTATCAATCTACTTATCTATCTTCCAGTGTGCTGGTTTCTTTTGGGGTGTTCTGTGCCAGCAGGGTTTCTTAAGCAAAGCAGGAAACAGAGGGAGCTGGCTTATACTGTTACTCTCCTCCTTTTTATCCAGTCACCCTAAGGATAGTTTTAGAATTACAGCCAGAGCATTGTAAGACAAGCCCATTTCTCACTGTTTTTAGAGAACACTGAAAAAACCAAACAAAATAAAACCCCAAAACGCCAACCAAAAAACCTGTGCCTGAACATTTCCTCAAGGTCCATTATCTTCCTCAGTTAACTGAATCCAAATTTTGTGGACTAGAAGCTGGAAATCCTAACTAGACCTCTGTAAGAGCTAGAAGGAAGGTCTAGTGGTAGTGTGCTGATGGTCAGCAGCAACATACCCCAAAGGCAAATGCAGAGGAGATGATGAGCAGTCTCAGAGTCTGCCCACGTACCTGCATTAACATGGCCACAGTCATAGGCCCAACGCCACCAGGAACTGGGGTGATGTAGGAAGCTTTTTCCTTTGCTGTACTGTACGCCACATCTCCTACAACTCTTTTTCCACTGGCTTTTGTGCTATCTGGGGTTTTAAGGAAAAAAGAAGTTACACATTGCTCCACCAAAACAACAGAGGAGGCAGCACTGACTGAGGCTGTTGGAGTAAACAAAACAAAAGTCGAGTTCCCAGGAAGCTGTAAAGAAAGATTAAAAAGTTAAAACACCACAAGATGAAGCTGTTATAATCATACTTCACTCAGAGAGTGTCAACAGCTCATGCAACATATCTTCCCATTAAGCGCCATTTATCCTCAGCTAGATAGATCTCTCCTTCCTTGAGGATGCAAGTATTTTCTCAGTGGCATGTGGCCCCCGAGGCAGTCTGAAGGTGACTCCAAAACAAATGCAGAGGAACCAAAGCACAGACAAAGTCTTACATCTGTGCACCAATAAAACACAAATGGGACATACAATAGAGATGTCACCTGAACCGTCCTCTCACAGCTCCTGCTCCATTGCTCTGAAGGATTAGTAGAGCTTCCAATTTCAAGGAGATATAAACCAATGGTCTGGAAGAATTGAGAGAAGAAACGTGGCTGACTTGTTCCAAAAACCCAGGTTTACATTTGCTCTGTTCCATTTTGGAGGACATCTAGGCCTTACAATCGAATAAAACCACCTGCCTTTATAGAAACTGAAGACAGAAAATGCTGAGGTTTCAATCACTCATTGCTATTCTAATGATGGACCAGTAAATACTGCAGTTCACAGAGATCAGAGTCTTGTCAAAGCAAACCTCAAAGGTGGCTTAAGAGAGTTCCAGTAGAAAAACCTCCTTTCTTCTCTGTCAAAAAAAATTGCTATATCACTACGTGACCTGACAATTCAGAAGCAGAAATAGCACTTTTTTCCAGTGGTGACCTTTAAGCTCACCCATAAAAAGAGAAAAAGACAAAATGTATTAGTAAACTAGCACAGTAATCTAACGAACCCACTGATTATAGACATAGCATATCAAAAAAAGAAAATTTAAGATTCTCCTGGAGTGGCAGATCCTCATTTCAGATATGAGAACTCTATAGAACTTTTAAGCAGTGTGAAAAAGCTGAAGACAGATTTCAATGTTTTAACTTTGAAATATTATATTGCATATATTAAATGTATGTTTGAAGATAAAACAATCAATAACTTTAACATATGTTTGGTGAGGGGCAGAAGTGGAAGAGAAACCAAACTCCTAAACAGCTGATTACGGCAAAACCAAAGAGGGAACAAAAGCAGCCCCTGCCAACACCAATTTTTAGCTGCATTGTCACTGACAATTAGCAGCTTCAATGTTTTGCTGTGTTTGTGTTTTAAGCAACACTTCCTCTCCCTAAAGTTCAAAGCTTGAACAACATCCCACTGTTAAACAGTGTTCCTGCAGCCACTGTCCACTTTGCTGCCTGAACTGCAGACCAATCTGGCCTTCCAGCCTAGAGACGAGTTTAATTAAGGTTGCAAAAGGCAAATAACATAATCATATTTTCTTCCAAGAATGCTAAGCAGGCTTACCAGCCACCCTGGCCAGGAAGACTCCAAGCCCAAGAATGACAAAAACAAGCAAAGAACTAGGCACACCAAAGACAAAGCCTAATCTGTTACACAGACACAGTGATGAGCATAAGGCAAACAAACCCCCGGTCCCTGCCTCTGCATCCGTACGTCACGCCAAGCACTGTTAAGCACAATTTAGGAGCTATTCAATTACCTCTAAAATAGTCTTTTGAGGGAAAGCTCACATACAACACTTTCCGCCTCTCCCCATAATTTCACCTTCTCATTATTCATCATCCCACTCTTAAAAAAACCCCAAAAAACAACAAAGAAGTTACAGAGCATGTCAGTGACACACAACCATTCCCAGCGCCTGGGTCTTCTTTGGTCCAGTGAATTCTCTAGCCAGCTGGAACCCAGGAGAGAGAGCATCCAAGGACTTTGAGATCAAAGAAATGAAGGACATGCCTATACATATGGAATGAACTGATAGGTATGCAACCTATCAGAAGGGAAGAAAGAGGCAGAAAATCTCAGCAGCTTCAGAAAACTACAGAAAAAAAAAAAAAGTCTGTGGCATTCATCATTTTGAAATCTGACAGTTTCCACGGTACTCTATCAAGCCCCGATTACTGAGTCTCACAACGCCATTAAGTGTATCACCATGCAACACTGATGAGGCTGCGTGTACAAGAAGATCAGATCTCTGCGCACTCCCCAAGGCAGACTAATTGCAAAGAAACAGGGATGTGTCCTCAGAGATGCAGTTCACATCAAGCCTGAAAAAAAGGTTGTACCATCGTATGTCAGAAACACAATGGTAATTTTATTTGCAACATGTTAGTTGGGGAGACTCCAAGCCATTCTGCTTCATGGAAATCAGCAGTGACCCTGCGGGTTTTGGCAAATTGCCCAAGCCTGGGTAGCTTGGCACAAACATATCAAGCAACAAACAGCACCAGCAGATGACTTCTTAATTTTAATTACACAGAGGACTGATGTTTTTAAATGTAACTCAATATCATCTTTGAGGAACAAGGCTGACGAAGAGAAATTTCTTTACTTTCCACTAAATAACAAAATGACTGATTAATTATGAAAACTACCTTTTAAAAGCTTTGTGGGTGTAGCACAGATAGTTGGAGGGTGACTAATTTTCCATATCATTCAACATCTGTAATTTGGATTTAAAACGAGATGAAAACAGAAATTGCCAGACTGTCTGTTCCTCCTTTATAAGGAAGGAGTAGCTAAGTGAAACCCGACCCTAAAAATCCATTGTGTTAAAGCACTTTATTCTATGCCACAGCCACTGTCACCAATACTCTTGTAGAAGCCGCTTTGTTTCAAGACAACAGCCATTCAAGCCTAAGAAGTTAATGTTGTGATTCAACAAATCCACAGCTACTTTAAGAGACTGTTTGCCATTTATGTATTTCAAACAGAACAGCTTAATCAGATCTAACTGCAAAGTAATGACAGCAAAGCTGCGCGTGCACACTTGACAAGAGCAGCAAGACTTCACTATGTAGTTGGGGCAAAATTATGTGGAGATTCTGTTGTAATACGTCCTAGGCCTCCTTTTTCCTCTACTAATCACCAGCCTCACTGAAGGCAGAAACAAAACTGCTACTGATCTGCTTCAGGACAGTACTTCAGACCAACCTTTTTTTATTCTGGCATCTTCAGAGGTTGCTATCATTACCTATGGCAGATTTAAAAGACAAAGAAGTCTGCATTGACTAGAAACACCAAGGAAACAGTATCCATGTCCTTACTTAGCAACTGCACTTACATACAAATAAACACATCCCCACTCTTTTTACATTACCCACGCACCTGGCACATGGTTAATTCCACAGTCAATTACGATTGCACCAGGTTTGATCCATTCACCTTTTACCATTTCAGCTTTACCAGCTGCAACCACCAGGATATCAGCTTTACCAACCTACAAAAAAAAGTCAAATAAACAACTATGTATCACACCGGCAGTGGAAAAACTTAGAGCTGCTTCAGCAGCAACTCGGATCAGCTTCAATTGCAGTGAAACTGTGTGCTCAACCATTGCCATCAGAGGGCTGGAAGGGCACTTGCCTTGGCAAGGACAAATTCCCGCAGCCAGAAATTATGGCCTATTTTCACACTCCTTCACAGAACTGTTGCTAGTCAACACTTCACAGCCTCCTTTGAACTCCTCTGTGATTTCCAAGTGGATCATACAGACTACTCTGATTTTATCTAAAAGCCTTCTGCATATTCTTACCTTCCTCCCTTCAAATATCCCTGCATATTCAGCTGCTCTTTTCAGTGCTAGAAATATACCCAGCACTCATCAGACAGCAGCCAAGAACAACCCCTGCACAGAACTCTCAGCGGCACTTCACTTGCGGCAGCACTATCTTGTGGTTTTTATGTCCAGAGCTGTGTAACATGCAACTCCAGGGAAAGCTGATTGTAATTCAGCACTAATGTTCTTCAGACAGTTCTCAGTAAATTTGACAGGTCTGGTCACAAAGCTGGTGCTAGAGACTCTGACTAAAGCTCCATGTCACTTCTTGCACTGCTTCATTCATTTTTGCTTAGGAAGCTGCTATCTCCTGGAATTTTTTCCTTTTAATCTTCAAGGGAGATCAACTATTTTTAAGATTTCATTAAGAATTAGCACTTCAATTGTTAATCAACCTAATGACAGTCTTATTGAACAGCAACTTAACGGCATGAAGCATTGCAGTGCTCCTGATCTTTGCGAGTTATGTTAAAATACACCTACTCCCTTTTCAGCTTTAATACTTGCCTACAGAGCCTGGCAGTGTTGATTGCTCTACGAAATCCAAGTAGGTGGCAGCACAGCAACACACTATTTCTGTCACTCCCGCGGCTAAAGAGGAAAATAGTACCAACTCCCAGTCATGGAAAATAGACTGGGAAAAAAAAACTGGAGAAAACATTTGGTCTAGCATTTCCCAGCCATTAAAGGGAAGGACCGCCTGGCCTTTCATGAAAAAAAAATAAAACCATACACTGTCTTGCAGGCCACTAAATGGAGATTAGGAAGGGATGATTAAATTCTCACCACTTGCTCAAAGAAGAAAAAAAAAAATCTATAATTAAAGCCCTCTAATTAAGGCCCAAAAATAATCAGGATCCTATTCCAATGGAACTATTTACACAACCATGCAATGAACAGGACTGGGAAACCGTTTTAGATGAAAGACAACCCACACCTAATGACTTAGAGGAGCAATACACCAAGTAGCAATGGCTTGCAGCAGATAACCACATCCTCGTGCATCCAGCCTGTCCTTACCTCCTCAGCCAGTGTCGAGGTCTTTGAATGGCAAGTGGTTACCGTCGCGTGATTCCAGAGCAGCAGGTCATGCATGGGAGCACCAACAATCTTACTGCGACCAACCACTACAGCTCTTTTTCCTGCAACCTGGATGCCTGCATCACAGAAAATTAGGAGAACGTAAAAATAGGTCATCGTGCATCCTAGTACAAACTAACTCAAACAGATCTGGAGCCTTCTGGTCAGTTTAAGCCTGGATCTAGTACTTCAGGATACTATTTTTTCTCCTGGGTTGTGTGTGACAGGGAATTGGAGTTGGGAGGGAGGAAGGAAGGACCATTTTAAAACAATTTTTTTCACTATCTGAAAAGGCAGAGATAAAATGCAGCATCTCAACAAATGTTTCAATGTGAAGCACAGCCTTCCAATGTGCATAATTGCTCCCCTTATCGAGGACTTCTGCACTCATGAATAATGGATGGAAACCTCCTTACCTGTCTGCCTAATAAGTTCCATGCATCCTTTTGGCGTACAGGGAATAAAGCAGTCTCCAAGGTCCCCTCTTGACAGTTTCCCGGCATTGATACTACTTAAGCTGTATTTTGAAAGAATAAGGCCAAGTAAGATTCCCAGCCTCATGATCACAGTTCAAAGTAAAAAAAAAAAAAAAAAAAAAAGTTTCTTTCTGGAGTAGCTGTCATTTACCCATCTACGTCCTTCTCAGGTGAAACAGCATTGGTTATTTTTTCTGTGTTGATGGGTTTATCAGAGTCAAGTGGCAGCTGCACTATGAAGCCATGAACAGCAGGGTCTCCATTCAAAGAAGTAATGCACTTGAGGACCTACAACAAGTAAAGACAAAAAACCTAATGGCTGATAAACTGAAATATGACTGATGCAAAGGAAAAAGCATAATCCTATCTGTATTAAAAGATATACACCATATGTTTAGTTTTTCCACCCAACAGTATAGATGACTCATATTTTTTATTTTTAGAAAAATACCTGTTAAAGTAACAAAATTTTACATTATAGTGTTTTAGTTTTCTTTTAAAAATAATTTAAAAAAAAACCTCAGCAGGTTCCAGTTCTGTTTCATGAGTTAACATCTATGGGCAAGAAGTCTTTTTTTATAAAATGAGAGAGCAAATGTAAATTCATCTCTCAAGCTCAAAACCAAAGTTTTTTATTTTTGCATTACTGGCTATATTCCTTACCTCAGCTTCTGTTGCTGTGTTTGGCAGTTTTATGTGATTGGCACTGATCCCAATCTGCAAATGAGAATATCAACAAACTATCTGATTTCTGAATTGACGTCAGAGATTGATCTGGCTATTTTCTCAGTCCAGCCCAGTCACAGCTACATTCTGTCACATTTCCAGGTCTATCTCCTGTGGCTACAGTACTATTATTAGGAAACACCATCAATGAAGGAGAAGAAAGATTAGCGCTTTGCCTACTTAGATTGATCCATACTTAACTGCCCTATTCACCTTTTGACATGAACAACATCATCTTGGCTTAACAGCATACTGACTTGAAATGCCAGCAGAGAAGATGCCAGCTATCACCTAGGGAAACAGGGACTCATCTACATTCCCAGTCCTGCTGTAGCATGTAATGTACCGCTCAGTGACAGAAGCAAGGCAACTGCAGGTACAAGACATTCAGAGAAGATGTGCACATGGCCACAAGTCAGGAAAGACAGAATCGGCACTTCAGACACATGTCATCTAGGAGATGTTCACACAAAAAGCGGCACCATGCTGTTGTTACCAGAATACTCCACTTGGCCAAGCATCAGGTTCCACACCTATACTACTTCCTTATAACAAAGAATTCAGACCAACACTGGTTTCTCCAATACAGGCAAAGTTTAGACAAAACTATTTGATTCGCATCTTTTTTTTTCATACTCAGATTTGACCTACTGTAGGAGGGTAAAAAGAAATCTTAAAGAGTTTAAGCATTACCTCAGCAGCAGCCTTCAGCTTCATGTTAATGTAGAGGTTCGAATCATCCCGATTTCCAACCTGAGGATGAAAAGACAGTTGAGTCACACTGCAGAACAGAGACCCAGTCACAGGCTGAGATGGGCTTAACCCTTAGCTTCCTTGGCTTCCTTTGAGCTACACCAAGGAGACAGAGGTATTCTTGAATAACTGTAAAACACACTGATAGAGGCTGTAAGTGGCTGGAGCTAACAGGAAAGTGTTCTTTCAGGTAAGCGGCAGCTGAAGAAAAGTTGTCTGGTCTCCTGCAGAAACACCATTTACAACTGTTGAAAAAAATCTTAGAAATGCAGTGCTGTCCAAAGTAGAAAATACTGCCTGCCATCTCACCTGAGAAAGCTACTCTCTAGCTAATTAACATGATCAGCAGGTGCTGATAACATTTAATTATCTGATTAAGGTTTTCAGAAAAGTTGGGCTTCTGATACCCAGGAATGTAATTTTATGCATATACATATGCCTTGATGGAGAGATTTCTTCCACTTCTGTTTTGAACCTTGACATGCCAAACAAAAAACAACAAAACAAGAACAAAGCCATGCACAAAGAGAAAGCAAGAAGTGCCTGTGGTTCTTGGCAGTACTGGGTGATTACAGTACAACTGCATTTCAGAAGACCACTTGCATCATGCAGTATGTTTTGTCAAAGGTAATACTCCTTGTAACCATAAGAAAATGAGGGGCAAATATGGAAAAGATGATAAGCAAACTCTTGAAAGCCCATTCCCTGGTATTTGGGAGCTATCCCTGGTTGTCACACAGACGACAAGCTGTAGGGGTGACTGCATTACCTGATCACCCAGCACACACTGGTTCTTCTTCCCTACAGTGAGACAAAGGGGCTGTCTCCCCTTTAAAGTCTGCTGAGTTTAAGAAACAGTATGTCAAATACAGGGCAGAAAAGAAGGAAGAGTGTTGGCATCAGGAGATGTCAGAAGCAGACCACACATACTGTGCAGAAGAGGACATTCCTGACTATAGGACAAAAACCAAAATATTAACTGACTTGCTCTTTGAGCTCAGAGGACAGCAAATACCTCCCAAGAAAAGAGCAAACATTGTGTTGGGTGCTACATATCAGAAACAGCTAATTGTCCTGACTTAACTGAAAAATAGACATCTGAGATAATCAGTATTAGGATATGAACTCCAAGCCCAGATTGTTTGGTGGCCTACAATAGTGTCAAAGAGCAACAGGCTGTGAAGGACTCGGACAACCCAGGATTGAAGAGAACACAGGCCAACCAAGAAAAAAATCCAGTATCTCCACAAGACAGCAATTGCTGAAGACAGTTTACAAGGTCAGCAGTTCAGGAAATTCCATCAAAGCATCCCTTACTAATTTTTAAATAGAAGACCTTCCTCCTAAACACCTGAAGATAAGTCTTCTGTAGAGATGATCTTCTTAAAGCTAATGGAAAACTAGAATAAAAAACAAACCACAAACCAATTTGTTCCTGGAATTGAAGAGGAGCATGGCCTTTGTGTACTATAGTGGTCTTAGAAGTGGAATCTAGAGGCAGGCACCAAGAGCTCTTCAGGGGCCCAAAATACTGAATAAGGACAGAAGCCACTTCTCTAAGCAGCCACTTACAGTCCACCAATCCTTTGTGGCCACACAGTTCCTTCCTCTTACATGACACTTGCTACTGTCAGTCACTTTCTGATCTAAGCCCAAAGAGCTTCAATTTTTTATAGCTGCAAGAGGGAAAAAAAAAAAAATCACCTTAATTCTGCCAAACACAGGCCAAACCCTTTACTGACCAGAGCTTTTTTTCCTCCGGAAGCATTCCTCTGCAGGCTCTAGCACTTACGCTTCTGACAGACATCAAATTCAGCAATGGGATTTTGTTCCATCCTTGGCCAAAAGTGGTTTTGGTTGAGCATCTCCCCTATTCCCCACCTCCTTCTCTCTCCATGTTCTCATGTAACAGCAGACCAAATCTCTTAATAAACACGCTATTTCAAAGATTTTTGGTACAAACACATCTCTGAAAGCTGACAGGCTTTGGGGCTCACACTAACGCAGAGACTTGGAAGAGTGTCTACAAGCACTACTTCTTCTTAATAGGCAAGAAACCTACTTTTGCCATTTCACAAACACTCATGTTCAAACAGAGAACTGCAATGGCAGATCTGACGAAAGAAAAAAAAACAACCTAAAAACCCCCAAATGTTTCTTAACCCCAGTACTTGGGAAAAAGACATCACAGAAATGTTACGATCCCACAGGGAACTCTGCTCTTCTGTTACGAAATGCTACCATTGCAAAGCAGCTTTGATGAAGCTCATCAGCTGTGCACTTATCATTGCAAAGCAACACAGATTTTCTGTAGTTGTCATTAAAGAAAACAATACCTGCAAAATTGCGAGTCCTGGTCTGAAGCCTGGAAATTTCTCTTTCATTTCAGCAACTTGCTGCTTTAGTCTCTCTCTCACTTGTCTGAAAAGGGAAAAAAAACCACCAAACAATGCAGAAGTTAATCAAGGGGCTGAATTCTCATACAGTGATAAGTCAGGAGTTGAAAAGATGACAGATGGGCAGATGGGCAAACATGTACTTATACCTTGAGTACACAAGTCCCAGCAATCTCCAAATAAGATTAACGTCCATAAATCACTAAGACACTTTGGAAGTTTCATTCAAACTTATTTAAAATTTTGTTTGTTTGCTTGGTTTTTTACAGTCCACAATGCGCTTCTTCACCCTCCTCTTCTGTCTCATAGATACAAGGGGAAACAAAAAAAAAGTACAAAATTTGATATGGAAATTCCTGGGATTTCAAACTCCCTACTCAAAAGCAAATCATCTTTCCACATAAGCTGTACCAGATCTACCTGTCTTCCACAGGTACCAGTCAATGCTGGTAAAAGTTGATGAATCTACAACAGTAAAACTGTAAAAAGCTAAACAAACAGGTAAGTACCCAAAGACAACTGGTCAATACCATGTGTTTCTATTTCCTGCCTGCTTGGCCTAACCCAGGCTGGGTAGGCTGCAGTCCTACACCCACCTTCTTGCCTTCAGTCTGCTTCTGTGCTTGCCAACATGCATGTGAGAAAACGCCTCCAGCCTGAGGGCTTCCACACAAGGCAAAGCTTTTCCCCAGGGGAGCAGGAAGGAGAATGAGAGGTGGACAAAGGTGAAGCAGTGAGGAAAATTAGCTAAACCCTGGTACACAGCTCAGGTCAACTCTTCAGTGAAGACAAGTTTAAGAATACAATTATTAAAGCACAACTTTGAAATGGAAACATGAGGTTCACTGATTAGTTAATCTAGTTCAGATGTCAACTCATACCCAGTTTACTATGCAATGTTTTAGAGATAATGAGTACTCATCACTGATAAATTAGCCACAGACAGCTCAAAAGCCACTATCACCACCCTCCCCAGCCTTGCACTCCTCTCTGATTTCTCAACCACTGTCTGGGCCCATGTGCCAGATCCCTCATTAGGGAGGATGGTGGGGAAGAGGTCCTGGTGCCAGGCCCAATGTGCTCTTTCAAATCTGAAGTTCTGCCAAAAGCTTTGACTCAGACCCAGCATCACTGCTCTGTCTCCTCACCAAAGGCAACTGGGATTCAGAGAGAACTGACCGGTCGTGCCCATCTCATGGGCTCATGGCACTGGAAGGAGGCTGCGGCATTCACTGGAAATGTAGGAGACACTCACTCAGAAGCAAAAGCCAGGTAAGAAAACCTCACAGGACACTAGAGGCTCAACAGGTCTGTCCTCCTCCACGTGATCTCCAGCCCGTGTCCCACCCACTATTCTCAGAGATGAGAAGGTGCTACCATCATTCTTAGCAAATCTACCCTGCTCCAAACACCCTACCCTTTAAATCACAGATGATCTCCTTGTGCTCATCTACCTTCAAATCAGCATCACAAGGTCTGATCACGTCACAAGTGGAACCAGACTTCCCAGACTGGAGGAGGTGCTGTTGCTGCCAGTTTATTAAAAAATGCAAACAGCAAGGGTACAGGGACAGAGTAAGTAGCTGGTGCCAGCTGGAAGGCTGTGATTCCTGCCATATAGGGAAATACCAAGACAACAGATAGCCAGTGAAGCCAACTCTACCCTGCCACTATGAGCTCCAATCAGAAATGCCATAAGCAAGAAGAAAGGGAAATGAGAGCAGCACACAGCTCTGCTACAACCCAGCAGCACTGATCGCAGGGGACAGTTGCAGCTGGCCCAGCCAGAAGCAGCCCTGAGGCTGTTCTGAAGTCCCATCTCAGGGGAATCACAGCCTCCTGCTGCATCCCAAATCATGCATCTCTCCTGCTGCATCCCAAATCATGCAGTCAGAGCTCTGCTGCACCTGAGGAGTGGTTCAGAGTATTTTTAGGTGTTTGTGTCTGGCCAAGCTGTTCAAAGTCTCTTAATAAGTAGAAGAGGTTGTTTTCAACCTTACTTAAGAAATAGTTGTTGCTAGGCTTCCTTTAGCTATCACCTCAGTAAAAGTCTTGACACTAAGACTGGCTGATGAGTTCAGAAAACAGTCTCATAGCAAGCCTTGCCCTAGCAATTCTGCCTGTGACAGAAGTTCATCTGCTGGGTAGCAAAATCACCAACTGCCTCTCCTTATGCTCCAGCTGTAAGCACTTAGAGAAGGCACCATATCTACAGCTGCAGACACGCCAGGGCCTAAGCTCAGGAGCAGCCCATAACAACAGTGCAACGATCTCGAGGAGCATCAGAAACCCACTGGGCATGGCCTGTGAGCTGTGGGCCAGCTCTTTGGGGGAGCTATTTCCAAGAACAGCATCCAGTCTTCCAGTGAGGAAAGAACAGCGCTGGTTTGTGGCCTGCAAAGAAAAAGAAACGCAAACAAACATGAAAAGTATCATAATTTATGACACAGTAAAGCCCTCGTAAGGGACAGTCGACTGGAAAGAGTCAGGTCTGGGTTTTACTTCTAATCCAGTCTTCTCAGTGGGTGAGAAACAAGCCCACCCAAGGGTCTGGTTTCCCTCTGTCAAGCAGGGCTGTGCTGTGCTTTTACCCCCAGCAGCCGGGACTATTCACATACTACATGGCTGTCGTTTCCTGTAATTAGGCACTAGCTCACTTGCCCTTCAGCTACAGAAGAAAGGTAACACACAAACACACAAAGTAGCGCTGCCAGTGCTGATTTGCTTTGGGAGCCTTGAATCAAGAAATCACTTGTTAGACAGCCACCTAGTGTTAAGTACCACTGCTCTCTAGTTACCACAAGAGCCACAGGTGCAAATGTTTGCGAGAAAATTAAGGAAAATAAACTAAACTCCTTGCTTTAAATCTGCAGAATTAGAAATACTTTACAAAATAATCTTTGCAAGCCAGCAGGTATTTACTGATATAGTTTGCAAAATTCTATTGTGGACTTCAGGTCTTCACAAAGGGAAAAACTCATATTGACAAATCAACAACTTTTTTTACTAGCTGTATGAAAACACTTTTAAGTCTTCAAATTTGCAATTGTATGTGCCTGTTTCTCTAAAAGCCTTCCCTCTGATGCTAAAACCCCTTCTGTGCCCATGTGCCCTTCCACAAACAAAGGTCCAGGGTCCAGGGTCCACACAGGTTAAGGACAGCACGTGGCTCTAAGCATACGGTGCAAAAGTCAGCTCCAAAGATTAAAGAACTTGTTAGCCTTTCTTCCTCTAGACTGCAACCGAGAGCTGAATTGGAATTCATTAAGTGAATTTCCCAGAACAGCAAAGGACAAAGCACACTCCCCCAGCTCTGATGTAAGCTGCTGTGTCAGTGCCTTCTTAGGCAGACCTCACCACCACACCTATGGGATTACATACATGCAATGGCTCGGGGGGCAAGCATACACACCACCATACTGAAGATGACACCAAGCTGTGTTTCTGTCCATTCTGTGAGTAACAAGGTCCAGGGTCTATGTGAATACTGTCAAACATACGACCTGGCAAGCACCTCTCAGAGACAACGATGCTCTGGAAGAGGCCTGCCCCCAAAGAGGAGGGTTTGGCCTTACTGCCTGGATCACAGATTCCCCAAAGGTTTCAGAAACATGCATCAGAAATGCTTTTGCTGCAGCCCTCCAAGAATGGCTGTATGAGGCTGATGGTCCTTCCCAGGTCCTGCACCACCTTGGTCAGAGCCTACAGCCATGCCTCCTCACAGCCTGCAGCACTGCCACTGCTCACTTTCTCTTCACCCCATGGAAATCAAACTGCAGCGTGGAGAGAAAAGCTTCCCCTTCTCCAAACCACCGTGGCACCATGTCCTAGCTAGCAGGACATCTGCATCATCTTCAAACACTGAAAAGGCTGCAAGCAAGCACACCCCAAAACATCCTACTGGTACCCCAAAGAAGAGACGGAGAGGAGTCTCTCCTGGAGGAAGTCACAGGTTGGCTGTCCCAATGGAGTGGCACTGGGATGGGAAATGCCTTGGGAAGGTCTATCTGAACACTGCTGGTAACTCAACAGGTGGCTCCTCTTGAGAAAAGACACCATTTAGACAACAGAGCTGGAAGCAGTTCACAAGTCTCCTGCCCTCTTGTCTCATGCTCCACCACTGCTTGATCCTGGCACACTGTCCTTATCTCCTAGAACTGCCTGCTGCTTTCTACCAGTTCCACATTCCCAAGGTATTTATCACTCTTTGGTTGTGTCAGCTCAAATACTTGCACAAGTACTTTTCAGGTCAGATAAAATGGAAGATGCTTTTACTTTTTTAGATGCTTTTTCATCATGTCCAGAACGTTAATCCAAGGAGAGCTACAAAATGGCTGAGCTGAAGAAGCAATCATCTGTACGGGATGGGATAGGCAGCATTTGAGGAACTTCTCAAATGTGGGTGGCTGCCAACAGAACAACAGAGTTAAGGTTTCACATTAAGCTGAGTCTTTAAAATTTAGACAGAAGAGTTTGCCCCAAACATGAGTTACAACACCATGAACTGTCATGACCAGCTTCCCATTCTGCAACATCAATCACACCAATCACGTCTGCATCCCAAAACAGATACTACATACAACACCCAACCATCAAGTGGTTCAATCAGAGGAAAATGTAAGAGAAATAGATATGAACTCAATCCACCTTTGTGGGGCTGAAGCACTCCAGACAATACTCTAGGCCATATCTCCAATGGTCTGTCTTCACAAATAGTGACATCAAAACTTTCTTCTTTCCACAATGGAGACATGGCAATCCCCTACACCCTCCTTCCCTTAGGACTCCCCATTTCCGTGTAACCTGGTGCTGATGTGCACAGATCACAGCACTGTGGCCCTGTTGTCCACCAGACAATGTTTTCTCCTAGCTTATAACCTCTTTAGAGAAGGGTCCCATTTTTTAAATTCTGTGTCTGCAGAGCACCTCACACAAGGGGTTCTTGTTCATAGTTGGGGCTGCTCGGTGGCACTGAGAAGTCATGGATCACATAGTTCACATGCACTGAAGGGTGCCACACATCCGCAGTGTGGTACCCTTCAGTGCATGCCTGAAACATTCTGGTAGGATCTGGTAAAGGAGATCTCATAGATTGGGGAATTTTTTCAGTTCAGACTCGATTTAGATGGAGTTTCAATAGGAACTCCTAAAACTTTTGAGACCTAGTCTGAAAAAGCTGAAAAAACCCCGTGTCTCTACTGCAGTTACCTCCAGTTACAAGCTGAGCCTGATCATTGCTATATCCAGTACTTCAACAGCACTTTAAACTCAAAGCAGTACCTGGCCCATTCGTAGGGGCTGGGAGGGGCGTTAAGTCTTCCCTGTCATCACAACTCATCGGCCACTAATCCAGACCAGGAGTGCTGGTTCATTCCTGGTGCTATCAACTAACTCAGGCCAAGCCTGGGGTTTCCAAACCTGGGCTGCTTCAGATGGTAACGACTGAACACACCGCTCACGGCAGTGGGCATAAGCTGTAAAGAAGAGCCACTACAATGTTTTGCTCTGAGTATCTATTTCAGACACAGACTGTTTTTATTTTAAGGGAATAGTAGTAATAAAATACAAGGTTGAGAATACTGTATTTTTATTCCCTCCAACCCTCCATATTCTGCACACCTAAAGCAATGTTTCTCTGCCTCTTATTAGTCATTTGTTTATCGTTCTGTTACACAGTAACTAACTAATCTTTTGCAACTCATTTGCCAATGAGGCAAATTTAACTTGCAGCAAAATCTAAGGCTGAATTACTAAACAGCCCCTCAGAGAAGTGGAGGAAAGCCAGCCTGAGAGAACTAGCCAGCTCAGAGGGATGCACGACCCATCCAACATTTAATACCTTTCAAAGACTGTCCAGGTGTAACTGTTTCTAATGAAAGAAGCAGCCTTAGCGAGAGAAGCATTAAACACCAAAATCCTACACGCACAATGTCTGCTGCCCTGTACGTTCTCCTTCCCATGCACAACATAACCACATTTACTATCCTCACAGATAATATTCAAAGCCGCTGAAAATGTCTATTTTGCTTTGTACTTCTTCTGAGTCTTCCAATACTTTCTCGGTGTGAACTAGTTTTATCTCCTCACCAAGTTTTCCTTATTTATAGAGACAAGGAAGCACTCTCTCTCTCTCTCGAAGTATTTATTCTCTTCACTTGTTTCACAAAAATAAGAATGCTGCTATCTACCTGATTTTTTTGTTTAAATAACTGGCATGACTCTGAATTAGGTATTTTTTTCACCTCTTTGGGGAAGGGGTGCTTTGTGGCAGAAGAAAGTTCACAATACTTACGAGTTTCGATTTAAAACACACACAAACTCAGAATTATGTAATTGGAACACTACTTGATTGATTCACCTCATTTGTTAATATTTGACTGACTTACAAACACTTTTTTGATTAAAGAATAAAGTAACAAAAAACGCCCCCTACAAGATGGTGACTGAAAAGGTTTTGTAGTTGTCATAAAGTCAGAAACATTTCCTTTTTACAACATGCAATTCAGTTGAAAATTCCTAAAAAAACTACATGCTTATCACTTATTCTGCTGCTGCAAGATTCTTGGCCTGCAGATGAACTCTGGATGAGAATCCTCTGGACCAGCACTTCTCTAGAGGGTCTGGAAGAAAGGGACAGGTATCTGCAGGGCAAAAAGCCCACTTCCTCATGCCTCCTTCAAGTACTCCCCCAGGAAAAAGCAGAACTATGTAAGGTCCATTCCCGTGGAGCACACGATGGTTTTGCTATATTGGACATAAATATAGCAGAAATAAAGGAACTGAAGGAGAACAGCTGTACAGCTGCAATTATTTTTCCATTCTGTGTTGTCTTCAGGTCAAGATTTGATGCATTTGGAAGGCAGGCTTCAGCCAAACACCTTAGAGATGTGCTGGAAACTAAGCAATCCTTTTTCCAGTATGTGCCTGTTAAAAGCTTATGCCTCTTCCCAGGTATTTGCACATAATGAAGGTCTTAACCTCTGAAAACAGCTGCTACTATAACACAGAAAACAAACAGAAATAAAACACTTCACCACTGTAGCCATAAATTTAAAGAAAGTAAGTAATGCGATATACACTGCCAAGGAAGCTAGAAGGTTTAAGGTGAACACTCTGAATACCTCTAAAACACAGTCATTGTACACAAGCCATCATCTTTCCGGATTTCTAGTCACTCTAAAATGGCAATAATGTGTCGCTTGAAAGGACCTACTATACTTCAGGGGTACCTTCTATACCAGAAAAAGGAAATCTGCAATAGCCAGATGACTGAAGTACCACCAGCACCACACACAGGCACTGCAGAGCGTGCTGGCTTCAAGACTGCTAGAAGCATAAGGCGTAATGAAGCACACAAGATCAAGAGACTGCAATACTCAAGTGGTACTGGCCCAAAAATTGCCAGGTAAAAAAAATATGCAAGCTGCCTTTCACCATGGATATTCAGATTCGAGACACATTAGGCCTACTTTTTAGAAATGCTCCACTATCAATTAGATGTAGATGTGTTGTACATAGCAATACTGAAGATCAGGTCTAACAACTTTCCTGAGATTACTTTAAACCATTTAAAATTTACCCTTGCTGTCCGAATTCACTGGTTATAGAGAGAAGGTACCCAACGAACCAACCTAACCAAACCCTGTTTGTACAGAATACAACGGAAGCATTACCCTTTGCTAAACACCACATCTTCCTAGGGTTAGTGAAATTTATTTAGCTTTCTTACTGTATGTGTACATACAGTAGCAGCAGGAAAAATAAGCAAACTAAAAGACACAACACAGGCTTACCTATACTCAGGGCTTGCCAGCTAAGTAAAAGCTGCAAAGCACAAGAAGTAAGCCTTTTCTTTTAGGGTCTGCCAAATCTTTCAAATAGCTTTGCCAGGACACTTGTGAACATTCATTTCATGTTACCCAGTACATGGATTAATTTATTTTTCTTTAAAAAGGAGTGACCAATGCCTGCACAGTATGACCACAGAGACCATACCCAAGGCAGAGTTTCCCAACTCCTGCTTGTGAAGCATCCCAAGAGCACAGGGTAACTGCACAGCACCTGTAGGTCAGCCGGCCACTGCCCACCTGCCCGGGGGTCCGCTCAGCGCAGGTGCTGAGCGATCACAAGCCTCTCTGCAGGGCTGATGCTGGATGCTGCCCCCGAGAACCAAGCCGACAGATCGGGGCTGGATTTCTGGGGGGCAAAGCAGCCGTGACAGCCACTTTAGGTGCTTCTGAAGATCCTTAATACCACCTTCATTTCATAACTCCCACCGTTTCCAGCCAGAAAGATGTCAGCTTTGAATGCAACTTAGTGAAAAAGCTTTAGGGTATCTTCAAACCTGCTTCGTCCCGGCAGAGCCAGAGGAAAGGCCACCACAGCCCCATTTTCCCGGCCACCAGGACTGGGTCCCCTGGGGCCCCCCCCAACCGCGCCGGTGTCCTTCCCGACCGCGGCTCCCCGCGGACTTTCCCCGCCTGAGGAACCCCCTTCCCGGGCGCATGGCGGGAGGGCGGCCGGCCCCGGGGTACGTACGCGGAGACTATCTTGCCGCTGAGGATCTCGGCGG